CATATTAGACTCCAAGCACACGAATTATCACAAAAGAAATTATCATTTTTTACCCAAAAATTGAAGTTTATTTTTCGTATCATATCCTATACATTGTGCTGCAGTGAAGTTGCCTTTCGGGAGCTCTCTCTCTCTCTCTCTGTCTCTCTCTCTCTCTCTCTCTCTCTCTCTCTCTCTCTGTCTGTCTCTGTCTCTCTCTCTCTCCATATTTTATATTTCTTACAGCAATTTGAAAATCTGTAGCTTTATAATATAAAGTTTATATCAATGGTTTTAAAAATCAGAATTAAATGGAAAATTAAATCAATTTTAGAAAAATACATTTTAAATCTCTTTTATATGAAATACAACACATAAAGCATTAGAAAGAGTGTCCATTAAAATAATATTTTTAAATGGAACAAAAAAGTGATCAATGTAGATTATAAATTCCCATACTTTACTCTTATAAACCCACTTTACAATAATATTCCATCTCATTTAGTTTTTTAGATATAAGCCCGCAAACATGGTACCTAATGCTGCAACACGCTGTATAACACTTGAATTTTAATCATTTGTATTTTAATATATGAGTTGAAAGATTTCAATTAATGTATTGGAGATTTTATATGATAGTTACCGTATTACAATTATAATGAATAAATGTTATAATACATGTAATTTCATTGAATAATGTCATTTGTTATAATACAGTTAAACAAATGAATATATTTTTGTAAAAGACTTAACTATTAAATCTCTGATAAATTAATTTATATCATTTGAAATCTTTCAACTCATAATTTCATTTATACTTCTATAACATCTATAGTATAATAAATAAATGTCTCCAATTTATTATTACTTATTGGTAAACTAAAAGTTAGAATTTAATGAAAATCTAATTATTATAAAATTATTATTATTATGTGCACAGAATCTGAATACTTGGTAAGAATTTTTCTAACAAATTGGTGTCAAGAATATGGACAAACTTAACCAGAATTGTGACTAACAAAACATATAGCCTTTGATATTGATTCGGATGAATATCATTTTGTCAGCAAAATAGTAGTTATTGTATTGAAAGACACCGAATGGAGAGAATCGTTGGGGAAAGAGAGCTAACGATGGAAACGAGAGAATTGAGTAAAAGTTTATATTAAATATAAGTTTTGTCACTAAAAACGTGTTACACTATACGCCAAGTTATAAGCAGCGAAATCATGCAATAAATTCAGTTTTCAATCACAACATATGTGTTGGAAATGCAATCAATAATAGGAAACATGTCTTGTTGTTGTGATTCGTTGTCGTAAGGGCTCATACATTAAGGAGTCCATCCCCTCGGCAGCATTGGATGTGTTGCCTCCCGAGCCTCTCTGTCAGCCTCTCTACAACCTGACGCGTCTAACAGCGCATGAAATCGGGTCTATAGTGAATGGAAAGCACTGGTTATACCTACTAATAGGTCTCTATATTAAAAAATTGCTAACTTTTTGATATAAACTTTTGGTATTTAGTGAACACTAATAAAGAGGGAGAGAAGAGTGTGTGATATGAGTAGAGCTTAATGTGAACCGAATTGAGAGTAACACTCGGAGAGGCAGGCATTCAATCAGTTGTGTAACTATCCATACAATCCGATGCCATCATCTCATATGAGTTAAATGCACGGCTTGTTTGTGTCTAATTATTATTTACATTTAGCCCAACAAAACACAAGTGTTGCACAACACGCGCACCGATTATACGCCACCGGCACCAACACATACCATACCATACCAACACATACACACCACTTGTGCCCCTCTGACACAGCCGTCGCCCATGAAGTCTAAGTTTTCGTTAAGAGAGTATTAGTGTTGTTTGAGTGGAAGTCATGCCTTCCATACCGTGCAGTGAATTACATTCCGCGTCAACCTCTTCACCGTTAAATTCATCAAATATATCAAACGTCAATCGCTTTTACACTCAGTCGACCACCAATTTGAGCGCAACACCTGCCAGCGCTGCCAATTGCCTCAACACTACTACCAGCCCTCACACCACGTCTAATCTCAGAAACGCCACTAATAGCTCTCTAACAGCGCTCACAACCACTTCAACCGCATCCCAGTTCTTAGAGTTACCCAACACTTCAGTCGCCGCTGACATAGCAGTCGCCGCAGCCGCCAAAGCCGCCTACGATTTGGCCGGACTTACAGCCTCTTTCCATCGCTCGCAGACACATCCGCACAGTCATCCCAGTGGCGCCGGCACTTCATCGGTCACATCACCGTTTGGCGCCACATATCTCGGCGATTGCGGTGTCGAGCCGTTCGCTAACGGTCTCACCTCTTGGGAAGTCGCCCACCAGTCGGCCGCCGCGTTTGCCGCCGCATCTCATCACCAATACCCGCACCCACTGTCGAGCTTCAACCCACACTGTGATATTAGGACCGCATTCGCACTATCGGTGCCCTCGACCTCTGCCGCTAATTGCGGTGTTTCCGTGACCTCCAGTTCAGTGCCGGCAATGACTGTGCAAAGAGTGACGGAAACCATTCGGGCCAACAGTGCCGTCAATAGCAACGCCACTCTTCCCCATCAAAACGCCAATATCTTAACGAATGGTATTTCATCCAACTTTACAATCAGTGTTCCCAATAAGACATCAAAGCCTAGACGTCGTGTTGCAACCATTGCTCAGAGAAGGGCCGCCAATATTAGGGAAAGGCGTCGTATGTTTAATTTGAACTCAGCTTTCGATAAGCTAAGGAAGAAAGTGCCGACTTTTGCTTACGAGAAGAGATTGTCACGAATAGAGACCTTAAGACTCGCCATTATGTACATCGGGTTTATGACTGAAGTCATTAGAGGCAAAGATCCCTGTTTTGAGCCAAGAATACCATTACATCCGAGCGGTTCGTTTCAAAACCATCGCGACAGAGATCACCTCTGGAACGGCGGTCACTATCCCTTCAATACATTTAATGAAACATTTCAAGCCTCAAGATTTTGAACTCCTATTGTATTTGTATTTGTGTTATTAGTGATGCCATTCTTATACTATGTCATCAGTACATCTACTCTCAACACTAATCATTAATATAAGTGTATATTTGTGTATTTATTGAACTGTTTTATTCTTTACAATTACTCAAGAATTCAAATAATCTCAAGTTTTATAAAATACCATACTAGTCAAGTTATAGTCAAATATAAGTACAAAATAATCAATGTTCTTTCCTATACAATAAATTCTGTATATAATCGTGTAGTTTACTGTACTATATATGTGCAGAATTTTATAACAAATGCTGGGAAGTGTGCACATATCATAATTTATTTACTTATTTATTGTTCTTGAATAAATTTTTGTTTGAACCTAGTTTGTTTTATTTAATTCTGACAATATTTGTGTCAAATAAAGACATGAAGTGGAAGTAATATCATAATCGACGGCTGCATTTAAATCGGCTTAAAAAGGGATGATTTGGTTTGCCTTCTCTGTGCACAATAGTGGCACTGATCCTCATATTTGACGCTTTTATTCTACATATGTTTCGATGGCTCAGCACTCACTCACTTAGACCTATACTACACATCAAATGCTTGACGCGTTTAACTAATCATAAAAATATAATATTAGAAATGGTTTCTAATGCTTTATGTGTTGTATTTCATATAAAAGAGATTTAAAATGTATTTTTCTAAAATTGATTTAATTTTCCATTTAATTCTGATTTTTAAAACCATTGATATAAACTTTATATTATAAAGCTACACATTTTCAAAATGCTGTAAGAAATATAAAATATGGAGAGAGAGAGAGAGAGAGAGAGAGAGAGAGAGAAAGAGAAAGAGAGAAAGAGCTCCCGAAAGGCAACTTCACTGCAGCACAATGTATAGGATATGATACGAAAAATAAACTTCAATTTTTGGGTAAAAAATGATAATTTCTTTTGTGATAATTCGTGTGCTTGGAGTCTAATATGAACCAAACAATCATATGTGTTATAAATACAGTTATTATTGGGACACAAATATTGGTAAAACAGGTTTCGGTCATCCACTCAATCACTGGCAATGATTGTCACTGACTGGCAATGGTTTACATTTTTATACAAATCCATTGAGACATCAAAGCCTAGCCATAGAGTCAGTGCTTAATATAGTCGTAATCTTTGGCGCACGTGTTGGTCACGAATGCATAATATGTAGCGATTGTGTCGATAAGTTGTCAGCATTTCATTTCCGTTTTGATGGTTTGCTACACTTTTTTGTCATACATTTTGTGCCAAAAATCACATCTCGAGTCCCACTCGAAGGTCAAGTGGAGAGCGGCGTCCAAACGAAACCGCATTATATTTAATATAATATTCTATCGACTGCTGGCGTAAGCACTGAGCGATCGCCGATCGCGTGTGTCATTCATATGCTAATGGGAACTGTGGGTAAACCTACACCTGCACTGGAATCCCAGTCCCCCATTCATACGGAGTCTGGCGTTTAGTTAATATTATAGCGAAGCAAATAATCCCAAGTCTTTGCGCCTATGATTTGAGAGCATTAGTCGCCCGGATTGCTCTCTACTTGCCTTTCAATGCTTTATTTAACATCAAAAGCCTTATTAACTATAAACCGATTGATTCATAACTTTCTCTCTTTTTTATGTGTATCACAAATCACACTATCATTACTCCTGTAGAGCTCAAGCCTTCCGCAAAGGTTGTAACCTTTGGGTCGGGTTTTAAAACTAACATTATTTGAAATACACTGTAAATCATACGAACAAACAGTAGTGACTATTTGTAGGCCTTTAAACAAACTATGTTTGACACCGACTTCGATATATTAATCAAATACACCAAAAATATAAACTAATTATATTTGTATTTACAATCCATTCAGCCTATGAATTATGAACCTATTCTTAGCCATAAGAAACAAATTTTATTTTTTGTATTTTTACCACATTTATTGAAAATTAAATATTTGTTTATAAAGTTTGCCATAAAAATAGACACTTTTATGATTTATAAAAGAAATATTATTTTAGGCAATTAAATCACAGTAATAATAAACTGTCATAAATTTAATACAAAATAAACATTGCTATTGTAACATAACAAATATAATTTAGTTACATAAATAGTGGATGCTATGCATGAATACTATCTGAATATAAATGAATCATCAAAATTCAGGAAATATAGACCATTAATTAATAATTGCATTGTGAACATATAAAATGCAGCAATAATGAATCATTATTAATGATAAAATTAGAAATAACGTAATGTATTATTAATTAATAATTATCTAAATCACTAGCTGTTGATTATTAAATCCTACAAATAATCTCAAAACTATTCATATATCCAGACACTTTTCGTGTAATTTGAATAATCTCATGTTTAGGATAATAGAAACTATTCTCATTACAAAATCCAATTACAACAACAATTCTTATCTAACATTTCATATGTTTTATGACTATTCTGTACTTTTCATATGTTATACTGTATGACCCATAGTAACAAGCAAATTGCAAACTGAGTGTCTGGACAGGAATTATGGGCCGTTTTTAACGCCATTATAAGGAATAGTATTTCCAAGAAAAAGGGAAACCAGATCCACGGGGGGTCTGTTATGACCCCCACCCATGTCTATGCCTTTACATAATCGCAGCCCATATTGCCTTCTATTACATCACGAAATAATCGCATAAAACAACACACAGTCTGTAATGCACTACAAAAATAATGTGATTTCACATGCATTTAGTTTTCATTATTAAATCGCTGAGATTTGCATTTTAAAAACCCAAACCCAACGGTCAATACAATCAAAGTAAACATTTCTCAAACATCATCCAAATTGTGTGAAAACAATCTCATCGACAGTGTATACCAATTAATATAATCGGGGAAAGGGTTGTAGTTTGATATCATAAGAGGTACAGTATATGAGACCCAATACCTCCCAATAATACGTCAGTTAACGCAACTTTTAGCTATGCTTTCAATGCAAGGCGTTGTGTGGTTTTAATCCACTTTTTAACCCTTTTTAAATCACCACTTAATCTGAAACTATTACTTAAGACAAGTGTTCACTTAAACCACTAATTGTGTGCCAATTGTAGACAACGGCGGACAGACATCCAGATCATGAAATTGGAGAAATTGGATGATATACTGGTTGTGGACAGGAATCGGTCGGATAGGATAGGACTGGAAGAGCCCCAGAAGATCGGGGAATACAGCTATAGATCAGTCGGTGACAACAATCTCAAGTATCTTCACATACCATCGCCGGTATCGCTGGACCTGTTGGACGGGTACGACGAGGATATGACATACCATTCAAGTGGCGCCAACTCTAACAGTAAGATCAATGCGATGTTGCGATGGCTGTCCACCGACAAGAATCTCGATGACCGGCTCGAAGATACCGACTTCTTCACGAGTCGGTCGCTGTTGTCATACATAATGGCCTTTCCCTACGAGAGGGATCAGGCGCTGTCTGTATGCGCCACTAAAATGCGAGGCAATATCTACTTGGGTCCACACTATGGCT